AGAAAATTAAAAAATTATGAATTTATCTTTTATAATCTGAAATTGAGAGATTAGCTTTAAAGCTTCAAGTATTTAAATAATAGATTTGATTTTTAAATCATATTATTTATATGAAGAACTATTATTTATTAATTACTGTACTTAAGGGGATAATTATTATCATAAATTTTTATTTATTTTTATATCTAGACAAATTATTTAAGCAAGATTATTAGAAACCTTTTGTTAAGAATTAACTCCTAAAATATAATGTTTTAGCAAATTCCCATTTTAGTGGTGAAAAATGTTATGGGAATCCTAAAATAATTATTTAAACTAGTGTTGGATAATGATTATGAAGCAAAAAAAAGAATGGTTGAATGTAATAATTGGTGATTTTTAGTATTAAATTATTGAGAATTAGATAAATTATTGAAACTTGATTAATGTATGGGCTTTATTAGAATATTGAGAGTGAAATCAAATTGTATTTCTTCCAATTATTCTAATAATTGCCCTTTAATTGTATTTTTATTGCTAATATGATTACAATTGAAGGTTATAAAATGGGTGTAAGATTCAGTTTTTATTATATTATATAATATTTAATTTCTCTAAATTTTTTATTTTCATTTAAATCTATTAGCAACAAAATTCCAATTTTCTTACCATTTTAATAATCTCCATTATACATAACTTAAGAAGAATCATTGAATTCTTAATAATTTTCTACCCAAGTACCCTATTTAATCCCATTTCCAACTTTATCATATGATCCACCTCCACTAATAAATTTTAATATGTTTAAAATATTGAAAATATTAATTTATGATTTAACCCAAAAATTAACCCCCTTCTTTATTAAACAAATATCATCCCATCTACCTACTTTTTTACATGATCATATTCCCCTTTGTAAAAAAGCTAGTTTGAATAATTAAACTTATTATTTAATTCTATCCACTTTCCAATCTTTATGTCATTACCTCTTTTATCATATAATCCTCCCCCTCTAATGAATATACTACTTAATACAGTATTTTTACATTAAATAATTTCTTTCATTCTCACAATCTATAAATCAAATATCCCATATATCAAATTTTTTACCAGTTTTATACTCACCAATATGAGTTATTTATTTCCCATTATAAAATCCTTTATCCTATTCAATCCACTTCCCAATTTTCATTCCATTACATTTTTAGTCATTTAGTCCACCACCACTAAAGCATTCATAAATTTCCTCTTCTTATAAAATCATTTATATATATTATAATGGTAAACCATCATATTTATTTACAAATTTCCCATAACCCTACTTTTTTTCCAAATTTAAATTCACCAGTATAAATTACTTATGTTTCATTCTAAAAAAATCAATCAATTCAATCCATTTACCATTCTTTTAATCTTTCAAATTGTATTTTCCACCACCACTATATAATTATTGATTAATTTAAATACATCTTTTTTTATTATTATAAATAAACCCAATTATTCCAATTCTTTTACTTTAAGCTTTTAAAATATTCTCCAAATTCATAAACTTATACTTTACTTATAAATCATGAAGATATCTTACGATTGATATTTGCTTATCATTTCCTTCAATTATCCTTATTTTTTTCCATCATTAAAGTATAATATAAGGTTTTAATAAAAATTCAAAAAGAAATAAACATTTAATGTCAAATCATCATTTTAAATATTTTAATTATTATAAATTTTAATTAAATGGAAAAGAAATACTTTTTTTTTGTTATTGTTAAATTTATATTTGCTATAACTTGCTAGTTACTTTTAGTTTTTGAGATGGAGAAGTGAACATTTACAATGATATTTTAGAGGATATATGAATAGAAGGTTTGTTAAGATGATTTGATATCTTATAAAAAGTTGCTAAGATTTAGCATCAGATAATAGGAGGCTGATAAGGAGATTGAAATTCAAAATGAGGAGGAAAAACTGTATTAATTGTGGATAATTTCCAATGAATATAATATAATGTGTAAAGAGACTAAATTATAAGGAATAAATTAGGTGAAATTTCTAATTAATATTATCATAGCCTTTGAACATAATTGATTTTAATGAATTCTTAATGAAACTTGTATTAAATTTTGGAAATAATATAAACCTTTGAAAAGAG